AAACCCATGTCTCCTGCATTGGCGGGTGAATTTTTTACCACTGAGCCACCAGGGAAACCCTCTTGCATACTTTAAAAAGAATCAAACTTTCTAATTTGACAATTCATTGTACAGAAGCTCAAGTTTTTATTAGTGAAATAAAAGCTTCTGTAAGCCATGTGTATGCCTATGAAGCAGGTCTTCTCTAAATATCCTTACAATTTCTACATTTCCATAGCTTTTCTGTCTTATTTGTTTTTCATGCATGTGTAGCATAAAATCAAAGGATTTGCTTTTATAGTCTAGTTGATTCTGTTTCACAGTGAGTTTCTGGACAAACATATCAGTAGATTTACTTCACAAGTATCTAAAACTTGAAAAAATATAATAAAGAATGATGGTAGGTTTTTAGGTGTATATTATTTTAGAATTGATTGCAGCCTTTGAGTCTGATCTAAAGGAATATCATTACTCTGCATATAAAATTGAGTGAAGAAACTACTGAACAGATACATCCATGGCTTCGGTTATCTGACATAGCTATCTCTAGTCAGGTTTCTTTTATCAAATCATCTGTTGAATCACCCTATAGCAGATGGCAATCCTACAAAAGTATATTATCTTTTCCTTATTTATAACAGTGTTTGGATTTGGTATTTTTGAAGTACGTTTTATTTGCTAGAATAAAAACTTGATTTCAGTGCTATTAAAGGCTCTGTGTATGTGTGACTGAGACAGAAAAGTATACAATCATCCCCTGTGCCCTTCCTCCCTACTTTATAATATGTCCCTTTTCCACAAGGATAAGCTCTGACATAATACCAGGCAAAGTGACTCTGTTGACTTCTTATAGCTTTGCTGCAAGGATATTCTTTGTATTGCACTCCTTTCCCTTTCAGTCCTCCTCTGGGCACTAGACTCCCCACCAGTACCTGAAATATTTTCCACGTCTAGACCTGTTTCTCCCTTTACCCTCCTTGTAGTCTAGGGTGGCAGAGTCTCTGGTGATAGGTCTGGTGGTGGCAGGTGGGAGAGAAGAAGCTGGTCAGCAGCTCTACTTGTCATTCACCTCTTTTACCTCCAGGCAGTTCTTGTCTGAGCCTCACTAAGCCTTGAATAATGCTTTATGTACAAACTGTACTGTTTGAGCCTCTGGGGGCCCAGATGGGGTGGTGAGATGGGAAACAGGCATATAGAGTATAAAACAAGTCACTAATTAAAAAAAAAACTCGTTTCCAGTTTTTGCTCATTGTTAAAAACCTAGAGAAGTCTCTAATACTCTGCGCTAGGCAAATGAAAGGAGTGGGATAGAAGCTGTGACATAAACTTACATTGACTCAAGAAAGGGAGTACTTTCAGTCAGAAATGGTGGTGGAGTGGAGAGGAAGCAGACTAGTATCTGAGTCCTTCATAGAAACGAAATTAATGCTAGATGTGTTACTTTCTCCTTGAGTGTTGCTTTCTGACATCTCAAAACCTTGGTTACACCTTTTATTCCTTCTTCAGGTTCCCAGGCCGCAAGGCCCAGGCCCACTTCTTAGGGAAGTGCCTGTATGTATAGTAATTTATGATTTGCTTTCAATTACTTTTCGTGTTGAATGTTTTACAAAAGAAGGAAGCAGTTTGTTTCATTTATTTCACAAACCAGTATTTTTAGATACAGGGTCTAAATTTAATGTTTTCTCTTTACTGGAAAATATTAAATAAAATACTATGCCTTTTATAATGAGACACATGGAGTCAAAATATATATTGGATTTTAATTGGTTCCATTCAGAAAAGCAGGTACTTAGATTCTGTATATAAAAGATAAAAAAAGAAAAGTGTCATTTAAATCTCTACATTAGCTAAATTATTGGTTAATCTTTTTAATTTTGTTGAATAGAAATAGAATAAGTTAATTAAAAAGTTAAGCAAAACTCAAGAAGTGTTTCAACTTAATTATTGCTAAATTTTCTGTTGCATCTACCATTTTAATCTGTCAGTTGAGGCACTAATATATCAAAATTTGTTGAATTGGCATGTGTAGGCTAGAAATAGGAAGGAAAGAAAAATATATGGCAGTGGTGGTTCAGGCATATCTTAATAGAAATGTTTCCCTTCTAATTACTGTATTGCAACTATGGTGTATTTTCTTGTTGATAAATAATTTTTCAGATTTTGATCAATTTCTCTATTGTTTGTTTTCTGTGTTTAATTTCTTTGTTCCTGGTTACCTTGGTCTTAGGGCTGATGCTTCGGAAAGTTTACTATTCCTGTCATGTTTTAGTTTGTACAGCCATTGTCTTCAGCAGAAAGGCGTCATTGTGCTGAAGGATGACTCTTGCTTTGTCAGTGCCAGCCACGACCTTCTTCTACTCAGAGTCTGGATACATTTAACAATAAAGCTATAGAGCTCTAAGTTTAAACCCTACCCGATCCTTTAAATTCTATAGCATCTTTTGAGTCCCCTGCATGTCTAGTATCACTGGTATGTAGTACTCTTTAGTTCGTGGCTTAACTAATTACCATTTTTAAGTTTAATCTTTGCTTTTCTTACATGTTGAGTAAGTAGTTAGTGTCACGTGATGAAAATTAAGTATGTGTTTTCTCAAAATCTTACTTATCATTTTAACATTTTGTCTAAGATGTTTTCAATAGCAGGTACCTATTTTTCCTATTTTTTAAAAATAAGTGTATTGAAAATAACACATAGCCCTCATATTTAATTATTTGATAAAAGACAGTTCAGAATCATAAAATGAATTATTTTCATTAGAATAGGGTCATCAAAATAAGTTTGTGTTATATGTTCTAAATGTTCAATGGAAATCATCCCACCTCCAGGCCCACCATTCTGTTTTCTGTTTCTATTGATTTGTTTGCTGTAGGTATCTTATGTAAGTGAAACCAAACCATATCTGTCCTTTTGTGATTGGCTTATTTCACTTAACACAGTGTCCTCAGGTTATAGCATATGTAAGGATTTCCCTTCTTTTTAAAGCTGAATAATATTATATTGTATGTATATACCACATTTTGTTTATCCATACATCTGTCAATGATGTTGAACTTGCTTCCACATTTTGGCTATTGTAAATAATGCTCTTATGAGTTACGGGTGTACAAATATTTGAGAACCTGTTTTTAGGAACCAATTTACTTTCTCATTTTACTTTGGCTATATGATATTTTTAAAATTGTAACACATACAGAAAAAAGTCACAAATAGAAAGTATGATCTTTTAAAATAAAACTTTTCCTAAAGTTACATGCAATTTCATAAGTAGTTTTATATTAATGTATTTTTTAGATCAGTAGTAGTCTTTGTCTTAGATTGAGTCTGATTGGAATCGTATCTAAAATGTTTGGAAAATAGATCACAGATAAACGGATACTGAAAAGATGGTAACAGAGTGTGTTTTTACATGATATTCTTGTATTCTTTATTCTCGTATAAAGAATATTTTTGATATTCTTTACATGAAGTTGTAGAATCTTTTTTAAATCTAGAATTTTAATGAGAATTCTCCAAGAATGAACAGGACCCTTTTTTTTTTCCCCTACATGTAGTCTGTATGTTTTCAGAGCTTCTTTTTCATTTAAAATTATGTCTGGTATGCTATTTGTAGTAGTACCCATCTTTTCTCTCTACTGCTTTTGATGTAGGAAGTACAGAATCATAAAAACAATAAATTAGGGTCCTATTACCTGAATTAGTAATTAGTGTATTCCACTTTGGGTACTGACTTCCTTTCCTTCCTGTTGTCACCTAGTTCTTAAATGACAGTTTTGTCCGTATGAAAGAGCCTTGGAGCTTGTGGCTAGTTATGGGAGAATTTGTACTATTTAACTTAGTTCAGACTACTTCTCATCTAAATCGCAGAAGACATCAAGGATTTTTTTTTTTTTAAGAAAAAGATGTTCTAAACTTAATACAAAGCTGTCTTTGTAACATCTAGAGTTTCTCATGCAAGAATGAAGCAAAAAAAGCCAAGCATTTGTATTTCACCGTAGAAAGAAGGTCAGAAAGGATTGGGAAAGTGTCGAGGATAAGAAAGACTGTTCTCAAAACAGAAAAGGGGTAAATGGCTAGATTGAGTGATCTCCAGCTCTTTTGGCTTTTTCTGGAGATTGGTTGGAAGATGAAAATAATGGCACCAAAACTTCAGATGGTCTATTAAGGAGAGCAGTGAATTGTTCTGTTGTTCACGGTAACTTATCCTTCTCACATAGAGTTTTCCTTTGTACTTTTCCTAAGAGTGGATCTGCTCATTTAGGATCAGATTTTGGGGAGATTTTGTTAGGACAAGTTGTCACATCATTTTAATATCTTTAATGTTGATATGATATGGTTTGATATAGCTTGATTTAGTTTGATGTCTTCAGTTAAGAATACTCAGTGCTTTGATAGAAACCAGTTTCTTAACTTGAGCATTTATTTAACTTGCCTCATTTTATAACCTTTATTGACTTCATATTTTCATGGAGGCAGTGCTAAACTTTGAAAGTGAAATTTCATCTACTGTTAGAATGGGTGCAGACACAGGTGGAGAGACCGATATGCTTTGTTTGAAAGTGTCCAAAGACCTATATTGGATCTAAAATTCTGCAGTGTATATAGAGCTGTATGTGTGAGTGTGTATTTGCATGCATGCTTAGTCACTCAGTCGTGTCCAGCTCTGCTACCTCATGGACAGTAGCCCTCTAGGCTCCTCTGTCCATGGGATTCTCCAGGCAAGAATACTGAAGTGAATTACCATTCCCTTCTCCCGGAGGTCTTCCCGACCCAGGGATTGAACTTGGGTCTCTTGCATTGCAAGTGGATTCTTTACCATTTGAGCCACCAGGGAAACTCTAGAGCATTGATAAAGATACTCCTAAATGACTTATTTCTGTAGATTTCTGAGACAGAGATTGATACACATACAGTTCCAATCAAATGCAGGTACCACTCACTGAATTGTAGTCTCTGCTGTACCAAACAAAACCTGTCATAGTATCCTCTTGGATTTATGTTGTGTACTTTCTCCTCTCCTTAGGTATGGATGAACGAGGAGGTACGACATCTTGGGGAACAAGTGGTCAACCAAGTCCTTCTTACGACTCATCTAGAGTAAGTTTGCTCATTAACCCTTGATTAAAACTATAAAGATAATTTGGCAAAATAAGTAAGTTCTTTCATATATGAATTCTGTGTCTTAAGAGAAGTGAAGATTATCTTATTTTATGGGAGTATATTAGAATAACCGGTACCTTCACAGTAGCTTTACTTCTTTCCATTAACTGTTACACTTTGGGAGTTTATTTTGTCTCCTACAAAAAAAGAATTATTTTTGGTGTTATTTCTACACCTTAACTACTTATAATTACCTTTTACTAAAGTTGGAAGAGCTTGGAATGCCTCAATAAGTATTCTCCAAACATTGTCATTTTTCTTCTTGTATTTATTTGAGAGCTCTCAAAGTACCAACTTGGCGACCAAATTAACATTCTACACAAAGAAAGGGGAAAAGGTTAGAGTCTTTTCCAACAATTAAGAACCCCCCCCCAAAAAAAAATCCCCCAGAACTTTAAAAGATGAGACTGAGAGGTTGAAAAGTAGACCAAAGAGTTGACAGTAAATTAAGTGCTGTGCTTCCAGATTCTGTAGTAAATGGCTGAGGTGAAGAGATACCTTTTCTAAAAAGTCATACTTTGAAAAATGACGAACTGTTTATTTCCCTCAGAATTAACCTAGAGAAAATAGACAAGCACAAAATTTATGGGTACTTAACTCCAGAAGTAGACTGCTATAAGTGGAAGATAACCTGAATAATGTGATTGGAATTCATAGTCTCCATATGGGTTACCCTGTTTTGCATTGAAAAAGGCTGGATGAAAATACTTACTAAAGTATGTGGTTTTACTGTTTTGTTTGGCTGTAAGTGTTTAATTTATTTTAAATACATTGGAGAAGAACTGGAATATCCAAGTGGAATCCAAATAACTAGAGAGAGAGAGAGACTGTTGAACATGGGTTTTAGTGTTTCCTTTTCTGGTATCAGTGCTGCAAAAGCTGGGTTGTGGTGTAAATAGCACTGTCTTGGGTATTATAGGATCTCCTACTGACTCTGTTTTGAACTTGCTGCTTAATCTTAGACGTGGTATTTTATCTGTGGATAAACTGGCTGGTGTCCAAATTTCCTTCCACCTTTAAAAGTTTTTTATTTTTTGAGTAATACTGTGAATTTGAAATATAAGTTTCCTATTTTGATTTTGAGTAGGAATTTTATATATTGGAGGACACAATACTACTTATTAATTAATATTGGATGATTTTCTTTCTAAGCCTTGAGTTACTGTGTGATAACATGTTATTTCTTAAAATAATTAAATGGTGGCTTTGTACCTTACTTCACTTTCAAGCTTTCTAGAAGAGACCTTAATAATATATCCAAACATTTATGTATTTTATCATCCTGAAATTAACTTTTCCTTTAGAGATTGCTTTTCTTTTTGCTATTTGATTTGTAGGTCAAATTGAAATGCTGTTTTTTACTCTTAATTTTTTTCCAGTGTATATTATGTACAGTGAAAAGTTAAATTGATTTTTATAGTAGTTTTCTATTATAAAAATCCAGATTAATCTCAAGATACCCCATACAACCACACATACACACATATTACACACACACATTTTTTTCCCTACTGATCTGCTGAGTGATCAGATAGAGCAGGGATTTACTACCCTTCTTTCTTTTTGTTCCTGGTAAAATCTACTCTTCCAGTAACTTTCTTCTATTTATCCTAGTCATGATTCTGAGTTAGTCAAGATGTTGACTTTTATTTATAATTTCAAAACATTGATGTCTCTCCTGAACTCTTCTCACCAGGGAGAGACATTTATGGTTATCTTTGCATCTGCCTTCAACACTCCTTTTTAAAGAGTATTTTCAACTTTTTTAGTTTTACTATTAAATATCTTCCACCATCTTGACCATGTTTTTATTAATCATAATTATAGATGAATATAAGTTTGTTAATAGAGATTTCAGTTGAACAAAATACTTAATTCTTCTGAGTATTTTAATAGGTTGAGTTTTTAAAATTTAGAAATAAATAATGACTTTGGCTGAAAGCTAGTTTTGACACATTGTGAGTAAAATTAGCAAGTCAGTTTAAACTTTTGTGAAATATTAGGTACCTTTGTAGAAATTATATAAATGAGATTTTTTAGACTTTACCAAATTGTAAAAGTAACACGTTTCCTTCATAAAAAGTTACATCATTTAAAAAAACAATTTGATTTTACATTGCTGATGGAAAAAAATTTTAATTTTACTTTTTGTGATAAATTGTGATAAAAAGGTTTGTAAAAACGGCAGAATGAGTAGTTTGTTGGAGTTGTGAGGCATATGCTTTTAATTTAGATGGATTCAACGATCTGAGTTGCTGTTTTCCTCCCTCCCCCACTCAAAACTATAAGGAAGAAAGAATAATTTTTTTGCAGTAGTGTAAAACAGCATTTGGCACCTGAAAGCTATTAATACTGTATTACTGTGCATTTTAGGCTACAAGAATGGCTATGCAAAATCATGAAGGTTGAGCTCAATATTTATTTAACAACTTTCCAAGGAGAATTTTTGCAGTTTATATTTTTTGCCTAATAGGTCCTGACTTTAATTCTAATGAAGATACCATTCTGCTCCAGTAAACTTGATGCACGAGTTCCACTGGCATTGTATGGTTAAGAGGCCACAAGCTTCTTATCCGTGTGTTAGCCTTCTGCCTGTTCTTTCAGAATTAAGAAAGGTCACTGCAGTAAAGCTCTTTCTGGTGTGTCTGCCCTGTTTTATGCTAAATCCACCAGAAAAGTAGCCTCATAGTGTACAAGTGATTAGTTGAGTTTCTGGTTATCAAAACTACCCACTGCACATCATTCACTGCAGAGTTTTTGTTACGCAGACACAGAAATAAACACCATGCCTAATAATGGTTATGGAGGAAATGGTAGACATGTCTTAGGAAATGTGAAGATGGGACAGAACATGTTTGAGACACTTGAAGGGAAGTAACACAATATTTGTGGTGTCTTTCTCAGCCTCCTCTGTCTTTATAAGAGTTCTGGTTTCTGCACTGTTGACCTCCTCCCAACCTGTGCAGAACAAAAACATGCATGTTGAATAGCACTTCTAGTGTCAAAAATTTGTGAAGGTGTGATTGAATTTAAAGCACCAGAGACTGGAAGGAGTGATTAATCTCAGATAACTTAGACATGGGCAGAGGTATAATTAATGAGTTTGTCTGCTCCCTCCCTTATTTTTTATCCTTTCCTGCAAATGACTGTTTTCTATATTTGACATTTCTAACCAGGTATAAAGGCCAGAGAATATTATGATTTTTCTTATTTTCTGCAGTGTTAATGAATTATTCTAGTTTCAGATTTTTCCCCTCTTCTTTGAAGGCAGTGATTAAGAGCACGTACTCTGGAGCCAGACTGCCTGGGTGTGAGTCCCAGCTCTGCCACTTACTACATGTGTGATTCTGGGCAAGTTACTTAAATTCACTGTACCTCAATTTACTCATCTGTGAAAGGGGAATAATAATAATTACTTTATAAGGTAATTGTTGTGAGAATCAAAAGAGATACACGTTCAGCACGAGGTGCTTAGATTAGTGTCTGGTACATAGTGAGTGTTCTATAAGTGTTGACTCTAACCTCATATATGTCAAAATTTATCAACTAGATCTATTTGTAACAAACATTTAAATGAGTCAATATATTTGCAGATATGCTGTATTATAAGTGTAATGAATAAGAATTGTTTTCTGATTCAGTCATGCTTAATTACTTTTACTTCTTTTAGATTTGTAAAGGATATAAAATTGATTTCCTTTCCCTTTCAATTTCTTTCTTGAGAAAGCAGAAACCTTCTGTCAAGCTTTGATATAAAAGTTTTAGTCTTTCTAATGCTTTATACCTAATGAATGCTCTATATGTTTGCTGAACATAATCAAATTGAAGAAGAATCATTAGATATACTAATGATTGTGTTTGAAGATCTTCCCCCTTGGAGGGGAAAGAACCAAAATTGATCTAAGGTGGCAAAGCTTGAAGTACGGGGTTGTATTAATTAATGGTAATAGACTTCTTCTGTGCTTACAAATTATTGCCCTAATTGATGACACTACTTAGTGAAGTATTTTACTTAAGATCACAGCCTCTAAAGAGTTGTACTCCATGACTGAGCAAATTACATAGCCTCTTTGTGATTCAGGTCTTTAATGTCTGTAATTATGGTAATCTTACACATACTTTGTAGGATTTCGAAAGAGATGGAATGCAGTAATACCTATAAAGTACTTCATTTATTGATACAATAAATGAAAGCTGCTGTTATTATCAGCATTATTATTTTCTCCAGATATCTAATATTTCATTATGTGTTTTTGTGCTTGTATTTCCTCATGTACAAATTCTGAAATTCCAAGGGACCATGGCCTCTTGGTTTTTCTGCCATCTTAAGCTCTGCTACCCAACCTAGACTGATCTCAGAATGCTGTTGTACCATTGGAGTTTATATCCTGTCTAGGGGTTATGAGAGGGCTCATAAGAAAGAGAAGTCTTTTTGTTGATACTCTTTCCTAAGATACAGAGTTTGCATTCCTTAATTTGAAAGGTATGCATTCACTGATAGGTCACTACTAATAGAATTGATATTTATAAGTACCATCAGTGACCAAGAGCTGGCTGTTTAATCATGAGTATTTTCAGATTACATATAATCCATCATGGTGGCTGTTTTGGAAAAGAAACATCATTCAACTGAGTAGAGTTTGTGTGCTTATTTTTTTCTAATTGCTAAATTTCCACCATGGTTTACCTTCTCTTTATAATGTGGTTTGCAGAATGAAATAGTTGTGTGTGTTGCTTTTTTTTCCCCTCCCCATTTTGCAGTATCATAGAATTTTCAAAACTGAAAGTGTGTTCATTAATATCCAGTCTTTTTATTTCCTAAATGAGGAAACTAACAGAATTTGAGGTTTGGCTAGGTTGAGATGTGTGCTGCTGATACAAAATACACTTGAGATTTGGCTAGAAACATTGCCTAGTTAATGACAGATTCTGGCCTA